TATATTAGTTAGGTAAGGAAAAAGGAATACAACTGAAGGCTTACTGACCTAGGGACAAGAGGTCGAAACTGAGGTCCCTAGGGCAGCAGAGGCCGGCTTATATACAGGGGAAGTTTAGGGGAGGCTGTGCGCACTGGTCCGTGCACAGCTGGTCCGTGCGCAGCATGCTGACGCGGCCCCGGGGGCCGGTGAGTCAGAGAGGCTGTGTCAGCGGAGCCCGAGCTGTGCCGCGCACTGCCGCCCCATCTAATCTAATCGTACAGTAGATAGCGATGCGTCCATATCAGGCATGTAGTACAGAGGTCGCAGGTTCGAGCCCACGAAAAGGAAAAATTAAAAAACGGCTAGACACCGTGCCAACTCGTGACATTACCCCCCCCTCAACGGCGCATGACCTCATGCAAGGCGCCCTTGCCCATCTCCCACCCAGAGCGGCATCGTGCTTCAGTCAGCGGCGAAGGCATTGGCTGAAAGTTGAGACCACCAAATGTAGTAGCATTGAGGCGACGAGGGGCGTTCGGGTTCTTCCGGTGGAAGTCGGTTATGAGGGCCGGCGCATTGGCAACGTTGCGCGCCGGCTCCCATGACGTATGCGAGTCGTCATAACCCTTCCACTTGACGAGGTACTGCAGCTGTCGCCGGAAGATTCTCGAATCTTTGATCCGCTCAACCTCGTACTCTTCGTCGCCCTCAACCTCAATGGCAGGCGGCTCCTCTGGCTCCCGGCCCGGGATGTCGCTACGCGTGTACTTGCTAAGCAAGGAGACATGGAATACTGGGTGCACAGGCACCGACTTTGGCAGGACTAATTCATAATCCAAGTCTCCGAGCTTTCGCCGCACGGCATAAGGTCCGAGGCGCTTGGGACTGAGCTTCTTGCTCGGCTGTTTCAGCTTAAGGTTCCGGGCATCAAGCCAGACCTTGTCCCCCGGCACAAAGACTGGTGCCTCCTGCACATGCTTGTCGTAGTACACCTTCATGCGCTTGGCTGACAGCTCGAGCGCAGAGCGCGTATCATCACGAATCTCCCTCAGGATCTTGAGCCGATCAGCGGCTGCGGGCATCGCAGACATCGGATTGATCCGAACCTGGATTTCAGGATTGTACCCTTGATGCAGGAAGAAAGGGGAGTGCCCGGTTGCGGAATGAACTCGGTTGTTCAGCGCGAATTCTGCAAGCGGCAACTGTTTCGCCCAATCATCCTGCCTGTGGCTTGTGAAAGCACGCAGGTACTGCTCAATTTCCTGATTCCAGCGCTCGGTCTGGCCGTCTGTCTGAGGGTGGAACACTGTGGACAGTGCCGGCTCGATCCCTAGGCCCTTGTACACCGCGTGGAGATACTTTGAAGCGAACTGGGGACCTCGGTCTGATATGACCTTGGCCGGGGCCCCATGATGCTTGAATACGTCACGGATGTACAGATCTGCCGCACCTTCTGCCGTCAGGGTCTCATGACAGGCCGAGAAGTGGACCTGCTTGGTAAAGCGGTCGGCAGTAACCAGGATCGAATCGAATCCATCAGACTTTGGCAAGCCAACGATCATATCGGTTGTGATGATCTGCCACGGCGCTCGGGGATCTCGTTCGGCTTCAGCGGACCCTGGGGCTTAGCTGGGAATGTCTTGGTACGGTTGCACATGTCACAGGTGCTTACGTACTCATTGACGAATTTGGACATTCCTGGCCACCAGTAGTTCCGCGATACGAGCTCGAGGGTTTTGGCACGACCGCCGTGTCCGGCAATCGGCAAGTCGTGGTGGATTTTGACAATGTCCCGCCGGAGCTCCGCGTTCTTTGGGACATAGACCATCCCGCGGAACAGCAGAAGCCCTTGCTCGGCATTCCACTCCTCAAAGCCTTTCTGCAGCCTAGGCGGTCCGAGGTTCTGCACCTTTTCAAGTGCCTCGGCCACAACCCGATCCTTATCCGAACACTCCCTGATGCGCTTCAGAAGCGACTGATCAGCCGTCACCGAGGCATGGCCGCGCCTGGTGGAGGCGATGCGGAACCTTTCAGGTCTGAGAACCACCTGATCGGTGTTATCGTCCTCATCGCCGATCTGATGATCTGATCGGCGTGACAGGGCATCAGCCTTTCCATTCGACGTTCCAGCCTTATGCGTGATGCGGAAGTCAAAGCGAGCCAGGAACAGTGACCATGTCACAAGTTGGCACGGCGTCTAGCCGTTTTTTAATTTTCCTTTTCGCGGGCTCGAACCTGCGACCTCTGTACTACATGCCTGATATGGACGCATCGCTATCTACTGTACGATTAGATTAGATGGGGCGGCAGTGCGCGGCACAGCTCGGGCTCCGCTGACACAGCCTCTCTGACTCACCGGCCCCCGGGGCCGCGTCAGCATGCTGCGCACGGACCAGCTGTGCACGGACCAGTGCGCACAGCCTCCCCTAAACTTCCCCTGTATATAAGCCGGCCTCTGCTGCCCTAGGGACCTCAGTTTCGACCTCTTGTCCCTAGGTCAGTAAGCCTTCAGTTGTATTCCTTTTTCCTTACCTAACTAATATA